ACCGAGTGTGAAGGTAAGAAGCGCCTGTGCAGGAACTGCACCTATGCTAGCAGCCGCTACACCCTCAGAGCCCCGCCGGGAAACCCACTCACGAAGCTGCTGTGGCGAGACAGTATGTTGCAAATGGGGCTGCTGTTGGTGTCCACCCGCCACTGCCACCTGCTCCACCCCCGACACCGCCTCTGCTACCGCTACCTCCACCATCCCGACCCCTCGAACGCCCACCCCTGCCATGGCGCGAAGAGAGGAAGTGGTGTAGAACGGTACAAACAGAGTCGGGGAGGCGAGTCGGGAGGTCGGCTGCGATAACTGCGAGTCGGGAGGTCGGCTGCCCATGGTGGAGCGAGAGAGTGGCAAGCGGGTGAAGGCGATTCGTAGCGACCGTGGTGGGGAGTTCTTGGGAGCGGAGTTCCGGAGCTGGCTGAAGCGGCACGGCACCAAGCAGCAGCTTACCACGACCTACACCCCTCAATCCAATGGCGTGGCAGAGAGAGCGAACCGGACCATCATGGAGGGCGGGAGAACGATGTTGGTAGACTCGGGTCTACCCTTACGGTTCTGGCCCCTCGCTATTCGCCATGCCACCGTCATCAAGAACCGAGTCTTGACTCATGTGGGAGGGCAGCATTGGGTCCCTATGGAGAAGTGGAGAGGCAAGAAGCCCCTGGTGGATATGCTTCGAGTCTTCGGGTGCATGGGACTCGTGCACGTCCCTAAGGAGAAGCGTGACAAGCTTCAAGCGGCGGCGGTGTGGGCTGTTCATTTGGGACTTGCACAAGGGAGCAAGGGGTGGCTCATGTGGGACCCAAAAGCCAACACCATCTTCACCACCAGAGACGCCAAGTTCATGGAGGGGCTCATGTTCAAGGAGTGGTTGGAGCGAGGGAGGAGCAAGGTCACCATTCCGCTCGGAATAGAGGTGGGAACGAACGACCCACTTCTCATTCCCATCGAGTTGTCTTCATCTTCAGAGGTAACGGAGGTGTCACATGACTTGGGAGGTGTTGAAGGGGAGGCAGCAGAGGTAGAGGGAGTGTTGCAGCAAGTAAAGGCCCTTGTAGCTGAGAGAGGTGATGCCGAGGAGGAGGTGCAGCAGCCTACACCATCCCCTACACTTCCACCAAGGCGGACAACCCAAGGGAAGCGTGGTGCTGTCCGTGGTGGAGCTAAGGAAGGTGCAGCCAAGGAGAGGCCCAAGAGAGCTGCTCACCCAAGGGATTTCCTCAAGTATGAAAGACTTGGGGGTCCCAAGGCATTGCTGGTCCAGGAGGAGGAAGATGATGAGGAGAAGGGAGCCGAGGGAGAGATGGAGCAGATTTGTTGCTTCGGTGTCAACTTACCTCATGAACCGGCTTCAATGGAGGAAGCACTTGCTGGAGATGATCGAGAGGCTTGGTTGGCTTCAAGGGAGGATGAGTTTCAGAGCCACATGGAAAATGTATGCTGTGTTGGAGGGAGTCCAGTGAGCTGGAAGTCTAAGAAGCAAGGGGAGATAGCTCACTCATCAACGGAGAGCGAGTACATGGCGTTGTTTCATGGGGTGAAGGAGGTGGTTTGGATGAGGAGGTTGCTTGAGGAGTTGGGGCAGGAGCAAGAGGGTCCTACACCTGTGTTTTGTGACAGCCAAGGAACAATTGCAATGGCTCGAAATGTTGTGCTCCATGGGCTGAACAAGCACATGCATATCAAATGGCATTGGGTGAGGAAGGAGGTGAAGAAGGGCACGGTCTCCTTGCACTACATCAACACTACCAAGCAACCTGCAGATTTCTTGACCAAGCGGCTTGCAGAGCATCAGCATTGGACCTGTGCCACCTTGTGTGGCATGTCCTTCAACTAAGGGAGGCAGCTTCAGGGAGCAGCTAAGGGGTGAATGAGAGCACGATGAGGGGGGGTTTGTTGTGCCCACACACTTTAGTGGCACGGTCATCGCACTCCCATTCAGCCTACAAGCCTGCTCAGCTTCTGGAATTTTGAGGGGAGGTTCTTCAACATGTCTTCATCAGACCCTCAAAGTTTCAGAATTTTTGAAGCAGTTAACAAGGCATGACAACATTTTAAGTTTCAAGACTTATGGCATCCCGGAAGTGTGTGTTACTCTTTTTTGGTAACACCCGAGTTCACTATTTCGGCTGCTGACTCGTCTACGGAGCTCGGATTGGTCTGCAAATCGGTCTGGCAGTCCTTTGCCGCGTTGTGCAGGTGGTCACCAAGTTTCAGAACGATCCAACATCGCAGCAGCGCGTGACAGCTGTCGAAAGTCACTGTTTCGTAGTCATGGTGCACTGTTGGCAGCATTTCCCTTGCCACCCTTTCATTGTTGTCATGCCAATGGTGCAGGGACAGAGAATGAGACTCTACCATACAAATGGTCAAGTGGGACTCTACCACCCTCCTTTTGAGAAGTGTGGTCTTCCTGGAAGCAGCTTGCAAGAGGGTGCAAGTGGGAAGACAAGCTGACTCATGGTTGGCTTGACTCACTATTGGTAGCCTTGAGTACAGCTCTGAACATCCAAGTGTGGTTGGCTTTGCTGACCTAGCTAGGACGTTTCTCATCCTTCTCTAGACTTTCTCCCCTAAGATTCAACCTTCTCTGAGTTCCCAGGATGACCCAACCCCTTAAGAGTCCCCTAGGCAATGTTGTACTCACCTCTTCCTTGCATCAATGAAACTACACGTTTTTCAGCCGAGCTTACGTTTTTGTTCACTGCGTAGTGCATACACCTCTGATAAAAGCAAGTAATATACCGTTGGAAAGCAGACACCTAAGGCTAACTGCTGTCCAAGTTTCAGCCTCGTATGTTATTGGAGCTGATCACGACGGCGTTTTGAACAGAGGCGGTTTGAAGTCGTCAGTTTCTACTTAGGCGGTTTCATGGGCATCCGCGACCCCTAAGTGGACTCTAGACTATACAACTGTGCGACAACCAGAGGGCGATCAAGATTGCAAACAAACCCCGCTTCGTCAACTGCATAAAACACATCACCCTGCGTTACTTCTTCTTCAAAGACGAAATTGACAAGGGCAAGGTCCAACTCACCTACTGTCCAACTGGCAAAATGGCATCCGACTTTCTGACAAAGAAACTGCCACGTCAGAAGTTCCAGTACTGCGCGGACCTGTGCGGAGTCATTCAAAAGAGCCATGTAGCGCACCTCGAGGAATGAAGGGGGGTGTTGGAGTAAAGAAGGGACTCGACTTAAGCATTCCCGTAGGTGCTATTGTATCGCACCCATCACTATCGAAGCAGCACTAGCGGCAGTATCGGATCAGCCCGTACAAGGGCAGGAAGGTCAACGGTTACAAAAGGTCAGTTGTCGCGACTATTCACCATCTGGACTGAACGACTCACCCGCGAAGAATGGCAATAGGTGTAACTGACCATGCAGTTACATGCAACGACTCTATAACAAAAAGAAGCGCCACTACCAGAGTCACTGTAGAATTGCCTGTAAAGCAGTTATAATAAGGGAGTGTACTGCTTAGAGTACATGTCTAGTTATATCTATTTATTGTATGTAATCTTATCTTTTAATCAATCTTGTCATTTACATTCACTATGCACAAGGTTCCTACCATTCAGACTTCCGCTACCGATTCTCTCTAAGGCAGACCTATCCTATCCAAGATTCTTACTCTAACAGTCTTGTACTATAATCTATATATATATACCTGCATGCTTACTCTTGCTAGGTTGTGATCGCTATATTGTTTGTGCTTTTGTAACTCTGCATGTGAACTGTCTTTGTGGCTGCTTGCTTGTGCTCAGACTGTGTGGTGATCTTGTGATCTGTTACAATCCTAAACAGGACTTAGCCAGGGATCGGCTCAGGGTTGTTCGCATGTATTGTTGCAGCGGAAGTGTTGACCTCAGGTCAGAGTGTATGTAAAATGACTGAGATGATGATAGCATGCATACATCGAATTTATATAGGGAATGCAGGGAATACGAAAAGACCTAGACTAGCCATATACTCTAAGGGGTACATTCCCTTATTGCAGCGAAGTTCAAATCGTGCGGCGCGGGGACCAGTTGCAAACCCGTTCCCGCTCTTCTCATTTCAAATGTTAACTGCCTGCATCGGTCTTGATCTGACGGTTGCTTGCGTCGCTTCGACTCTTAAGACGCCTCGACTTCGTACTCCGTAGAGTCGGCTCGTGCAGCATACATGAATGACTTTTCCTTAAATTTCATATCGTAACACTCCCCTTCATTCATGGGCATGCAGAGGGCTGACTCCATTAACTACTCCGGTGAGGACGGAGCAGTGTTTATACTGCTAACGTGGCAGACGCTTGGTGAGGAAGTCGGATGCCATTTCAGTGGTGGCAATATGCGAGGTCAACTTTGCCCAAGTCAATTTCGTCTTTGACAAAAAAAAAAAAAGAAATAAAAACAAAAATAAACAAACAAACAAACAAACAAACAAATCGAAGCGCGATGTGCTTCGTGCGGTTCACGAACCCTGGCTTGTTCGCGATCTTGATGGCGCTCTGGTTGTCGCAGTGAAGGCGAAAGGTAGGCGAAGTTGGGGTTTTCGCTTCCTGGAGTAGCTCCTGTAGGTACAGGCCTTCCCGAACTGCTGCTGTTGCAGCGATGTACTTTGCTTCGGCCGATGACAGGGCAACCAGCTCCTGCTTCCGTGAGTTCTAGGAGATTGGTCCAGTTGGCTCTAGGCGGAAGATGAAGTCGGTTCGGGACCGTCGATTCGCAGGGTCAGCGGCATGATCTGCGTCCACGTAGCCGTTGAGGTTGAAGGAGGTTGTCGCAAGCGTAGAGTAGGAAATCAGGATGTCAGGTGTGGAGATGAAGTACTGCATGTCGTGCTCCAGGTCCAGCTGGTTCTCGGCTACTGGCTTGCGGGAGTATTGTGCGAGTTGGTTGGCGATGTACGAAAGGTCGGGTCGGCATGTGACAGAGGCGAATAGCAGGCACTCCAGTTGCTGCTGGTACAGTTGGAGTCCTGCGGGCGACAGAGGTTTGTTATCCGGTTTGTAGATGGCGCTGGGGTTGCGGTAAGGAGTGGAGAGTGGTGCGCGTGAAATGTTGAAGCGTTCCCCCAGCTGCTCTGCGTACTTGGAGGCTGACAGATGAATTGCTTCTAGCGCGTAGGTGATGTTCAGCCCCAAAAATTGTGTGACGTTGTGGTTGATGGTGATGTCAACGCGCTGCGCCAGGTTCTCTTCGAACTGGTTAAGGAGTCGGTTGCAGGTGCCGTTGTAAAGTAGGTCGTCGACGTAGACGGTCAAGAGGATGTAATTGCCTTTGAAGTGGAGGTGGTGCATCCCGGTAGTGGGGGTCACCCTTCCCACTCCTTACATCTTCACAATCACCCATCACCTCCCTAAATCACCCATCACCTCCCTAAATCACCCATCACCTCCCTCCTCTCACAGCACCACCCTGAATCCCCTCACTAATCACCTGGCCAGGTGGGTACGGAGGCAGGAAGGATGGGGACGCATTGCCCGCATTCCTCACCTGCAGTTCATACATGCTGCACTCGCTAATCACCCTCCTTTCCCCCTCAACCCTCTTTACTTCCGCGTCTTATCGGAGCACCATCCATCCCGCCTCTGTCCTCGCCTTCTTTCCCCTATCTGAGCAGTTTCCATCCGTCCTACGTCCTCTCCTTCTTTCCCCTATCGGAGCACCTTCCGTCTCTCCTCTGTCCTCGCCTTTCTTCCCCTATCGGAGCACCTTCCGTCTCTCCTCTGTCCTCGCCTTTCTTCCCCTATCGGAGCACCTTCCGTCCCTCCTCTGTCCTCGCCTTTCTTCCCCTATCGGAGCACCTTCCGTCCCTCCTCTGTCCTCGCCTGCTTTCCCCTATCGGAGCATCTTCCGTCCCCCCTACTCCCTATCACATCATTGCTTTCCCTCGTGCCAGCACGTCCCTTCCCGCATTGCTTCCCCCTCTGTCAGGCCCTCCCTTAGCACCTCTCTCGGTCCCCCCGCACCGCATCTCCCTTCCCCCTCACTAAGCAAGTCTCTCGTTGGGAAAGGACCTCATCCCCCTTCCCTCTCTCACAGCACCTCCTTAGCCACTCTCATCGCAACTACCACCCCCCCCCCCCCCCCCCCCCCCCGAACTTACCTTTCTTCCCCTTCATGCTTACCCCCCACCCTTCCCCCTCTCACAGCACCTCCCTTCCCCCCCTCACAGCACCTCCATTCCCCCTCTCACAGCACCTCCCTTCCCCCCCTCACAGCACCTCCCTTCCCCCCCTCACAGCACCACCCTTCCCCCCCTCACAGCACCTCCCTTCCCCCCCTCACAGCACCTCCCTTCCCCCTCTCACAGCACCTCCCTTCCCCCTCTCACAGCACCTCCCTTCCCCCTCTCACAGCACCTCCCTTCCCCCCTCACAGCACCTCCCTTCCCCCCCTCACAGCACCTCCCTTCCCCCCTCACAGCACCTCCCTTCCCCCTCTCACAGCACCTCCCTTCCCCCTCTCACAGCACCTCCCTTCCCCCCCTCACAGCACCTCCCTTCCCCCCCTCACAGCACCTCCCTTCCCCCTCTCACAGCACCTCCCTTCCCCCCCTCACAGCACCTCCCTTCCCCCCCTCACAGCACCTCCCTTCCCCCCCTCACAGCACCTCCCTTCCCCCTCTCACAGCACCTCCCTTCCCCCCCTCACAGCACCTCCCTTCCCCCCCTCACAGCACCTCCCTTCCCCCCCTCACAGCACCTCCCTTCCCCCTCTCACAGCACCTCCCTTCCCCCTCTCACAGCACCTCCCTTCCCCCCCTCACAGCACCTCCCTTCCCCCTCTCACTGCACCTCCCTTCCCCCTCTCACAGCACCTCCCTTCCCCCCCTCACAGCACCATCCTTACCCCCTCTCAGCACCCTGCCATGTTTTATTTCCCCCTCTCACAACACATTCATACCCCCTCTCATCACACCTAGGATCACCCCTATGACCTTACCACAGTTCACCCTTCCCTCGTCTCTCTTCCACCTCTCCCAGCACAACCCGTCCCACCCCCTATGCCACTATCTTCACCATCCCCCATCCCCTCCCTTCCCCTTCCCACAGCGCCACCCTAAACCCTATGTTCTCATCCCAGACCCCCCTCCCTAAGCACCCTTTGTTACCCTCTCACCTCATTTCCCTTCCCCCTGCAGCATATAACTAAGCACCACCCTTCCCGCCTCCCTTCCCCCTCTAACAGCACCTCCTCACCCTTCCAAGTGTTCCCTTCCACCCGGCCCGGACAGGGTACTATTTTAGTTTAGTACTTATGGGTTGGGGGAGGATGCTTTGGTTAAACTGTCATGTCTTAGACATACTACTATCATTTTCCACCTGGTACTTTTAATAAAGTGTGCCCACACATCACTTCTCCCTCCCTAGGGACATATCTACCAGGCGCCCCTCAACTCCGTTCCCCTTTCTTCCAGCACTAATCTTGCCCCTCTGACCGCCCCCCCCTTCTCACTCTCCCATCACCTCCTAACCCCCTGCCTGCACCTTCTTTTTCCCGCTACACGCACCTCTATTCCCCCCTCGGACCCCACCTTCCTATCCCCCTCCCGTGTTTGCCTACATTCCCGATAGGACATCCCCTGTTTGCCTACATTCCCGATAGGACATCATCTCCCTTCCCCCTACCTATGTACTTATCCCTCCCCACTGATCTCACCTCATTTCCCCTTCTGACAGCACCTATTGCCCCCCTCCCAGCACCTTCTCTCCCGTCTCTCAACACCTCCCTTACCCTTCTGATCTCACCTTCATTTCCCCCTCCCTTCACCTCTCATCCCCCCTCTGACCTCACCTCCCTTCCCCTTTTCCTCACATATCTTCCACCACTCACCTCTCCTCCCTTCCCCCTCTCAACTCACGTCCCTCCCCCCTCTTTAAGCACGTATCTTCACCCTACCTGCTCACCTACCTCACCCTTCTCGCAGCGACTCCCTCTTTTGGAGGGGAAAATTTCGAGAAATAAAGGCATGAATGAGAGGGAGGTGAGGGGAAATTGATGAAAGGCAAAAGGGGACTGAGAGGGAGCAGAGAGGGAAATCATGGGAAGGGAAGGAGGGAATGAGAGGGAGCAGTGGAAACAAAAGAATGAGATTTATCACCTCACTTCCCCACACTAAGCACCTCTCTACTCCGGGCACCTCAAATCCCTTCCCCCTCCCAACACACTTATCTTGCCCCTCCGACCGCATCCCCCTTCCCACTATCACATCACCTCCTAAACCCCTGCCAGCAACTTCTTGCCCCTCTCCACGCACCTCCATTCCCCCCTCTGGCCTCACCTTCCTTTCACCCTCCCCTCACATACATTCCCCATATGACATCACATCGCCACCCCCTCCCAAAGCACTTATCATCCCCCACTGACCTCATCTCCCGTCTCCCTCCCACAACACCTCTTGGCCCCCTCCCAGCACCTTCTCTGCCGTCTCTCAGCACCTCCCTTCCCCCCTCTAAACTCGCTTTCATTTCCCCCTCCCCTCAACTACCATCCACCCTCTGACATTACCTCCCTTGTCCCTTGCCTCACATATCTTACACCACTCACCTCACCTCCCTCCCCCCCTCCATCAGCACGTTTCTTCCCCTTCCCTGCTCTCCTACCTCCCACTTCGCACTACACCTCCCTTCCCCCTCTCACCTCACCTCCCAGCCACCTCAGACCCCACCTCCCTTTTCCCTCCCTAAGCACCTCTCCTCCCCATCTCACCTCACCCAGTCGTCCCCTCTGCCAGCACCTCCCCTCCCCCCCTCACAGCACATCCCTTCCCCCCCTCACAGCACCTCCCTTCCCCCCCTCACAGCACCTCCCTTCCCCCTCCCACAGACCCTCCCTTCAAACCCTCACAGCATGTCCCTTCCCACCTTGACCGCACGCGCACGTCCCCATCTGCCTGACAGTCGCCCCATCACATCATGTATTTCCGCCCCTGCCAGCACCTCCCTCCCTAGACCCTTTACGTGAGCCTCTCTTCCTCCTCCGAACTCACGTTCCTCCCCCCACCCCGCCCCCACCTACCTTCACCGTCTGTCCTCTCATCCCTTCACCCTTTCTCAGCACCTCCCTTCCCCCTCTATAATACCGCTCTTCCCCATCTCACATAGCTGCATTGCCCCAGCCTGCACCTCCACTCCGGCCCCTCTCTTTAGTGTTCAGAGGTTCTGTGAGGGGGCTACCCTGGTACTGTCATGACCTGGACATACTATTGTCAACTTCACCCGTTGTGTTTGAAATAACGTATTCCCTGACCCCGCTTCCCCCACGCCGGGCACCTCAAATCCCTTTCCCCTTCCCACGCACTTATGTGGCCCCTCTGTCCCTCCCCACCTTGCCACTCTCACATCACCTCCTAAACCACTTGCCAGAACCTTCTTTCCCCTCTCCACTCACCTTCATTTCCCCCACTGGCCTCACCTCTCTTCCCCCTCCCAGTGCACTTATCTTTCCCCACTGACCTACCCTCACTTCCCCCTCCCAGAGCGTTTATCTTCATAATCTCACAGCACTCCCCAAGAAACCCTCACAGCACCTCCTTTTCCCCTATCAAGGGGAATCCATTCCCCGTCTTACAGCACCTCCCTTGGCCTCTCATTCCACCATGTAGTATCGTTTCTCCATATGGCATTCCACCATATACCGTCGTTTCTCCATATGGCATTCCGCCATCTACCATCGTTTTGCCTCTCATTCCGCCATATACCATCGTTTCGCCTCTCTTTCCGCCACGTTACCATCGTTTCGCCCCTCATTCCGCCATATACCATCGTTTCGCCTCTCATTCCGCCATCTACCATCGTTTCGCCTCTCATTCCGCCATCTACCATCGATGGGGGGCTCATTCCGCCACCTGCCATCATCTCGCTACATCATTCCGCCATCTACCATCATGTCGCATCACATTCCGCCATCTACCATCGTTTCTCATCTCATCCGCCATCTACCATCATTTAGCCTCTCATTCCGCCATCTACCATCAGTTCCCCGCTCATTCCGCCATCTACCATCATTCTGCCTCTCATTCCACCATCGTCCATCATTTCGCCGCTCATTCCGCCATCTACCATCGTCTCGCCTCTCATTCCGCCATTTACCACCGTTTCGTCTCTCGTTCCGACGACTACCACCAGTAGGCATCTCAGACCGCCCACAGTTTAGCATCTCTATCTGCCTTATACCGCCATTTCGGGCCTACGTGACAATCCGTTACTAATTCCGCCATATACCGCCGTTACGCCAACACTTCTGCCGTCTAACCCCAAAGCCGTCTACCATTCCGCTCTCTACCGCGATTCCGTGGTGCTCGTGTGCGGCTCAAATATCCAGCATATCGTCGAGCTCACCTACGGAAGGCAGTTGAAGAATGTGATACGAGTAGGATCCTGGGAGGTCCGCGACCGCAGTCCCTAACAAGGATTGGCCTTGCTGAGGGCAGTGGCTTTTTCTAGATTGTGACGTGTGTAGGCTGGAGAATCACGGTGCGGAATGTAGGGGGAGTGTTGAAGAGGGCGTCTTAGTGGAGCAGGTTGTCTACGACGCGAGTAAAATACTTGGAGGTGTGGGAACCCTGCTCCTTGTGGGTGTGGTAGAGTTGTCTGTCTCATGTTTTCGACCCCTGTAAAATGCTTGGTGCCTGAGGCGAGAGATGGCGACACTCTGTTGTCGCACCATGTTGTTTCGTCGCACAGGTGTGGCTTCAATCGTGGTTTGGCGACTGGATTACCCCATGTCGTGTGTACTGTACATTTGGTTTGCAGGGCCAACCAACTCCCAACCAACCTTCCCAACCCTAACCGTTGTTTGGGGGTGTTGTGCGACTAAACGGGTTGTTACCAGGTTCCAAGCGTTTAACACATGGTTGGCTCGCTAAAATATGAGACGCGAGCTTTAAGAAATCCGCGCGCAATCCAGTCGATGGGCACCAATCTGGAGTCAGGGATGTGCGGGGGACTTTCAAGCAGCGGGACTGGAAGATTCCAGTCCTGGTCGTTATCGTCATTGTAGTCGTGGCCGGGGATAAGGGGATTATTATCTGTGAATGCCCCGATCGGATGTGGTGCTGGTTCGGGTGATGGAGTGCGTTCGTGGCGACGACGGGTTCCCAGTGGATGGCGCATTGCCATGTTGCTGATGGCGTTGTGTCGTGTGGGCTGAAAGCCCTGGGCTTGACGTGTATCATTTATTGCGTCTTGTTGGCCGGTCCAAGTGCTCGGATTGAACTGGCAAGGGCTGGCGTTGCAGTGTCAGCCGAGGGTCCATTGTAGCGCCGTCAAAATAGTTAAAAAATATGCATGTTTTGCAATAGCAACTCCAGCTCAAAGCTCCAAGTGTAGAAAACTCTGGCGTCAAACATGGTACTTGTCTTTTTTTTTTATTTGTTCAAGAAACACGATTGAGCTGAGAGAATCACGTCATCACTTGGGAGTGGGACTTTGGGGGTTGAAACATTTGTGTTGAGGGAGAAGGTTTGCGGGGCGGTATTACGGCCTGTCGTGGTCGGTTGAGTCGGTTGGGAGGAGGTTCCTGCATCGCCATTCCGCAACGTCTGCAGCCCTTGCTCCAGGGCTGAAAGACGCTGAAGCAACCGTTCAAGTGCAATGGAGCTGATCGTCGTCGTCGCTTCGAATGTCGCAATGGGGTTGGTTGGTAAGTCAGAGTTAATATTTGGTGACTCAATAATCATGATGAAAAACATACAAGGTAAATATGTGATATAGGGAATACAAAATGACCTAGACTAGCCATGTACTCTAAGGAGTACAATCCCCTATTACAGCGAGAGTCAACCGTGCGATGCGGTAATGTGAGAGTATGGCGGCTCCGCCTACATAAACTTACCTCTATCTACTGTCTCATGCATTATCTTGATTAGCCTTAGTTTTTTATGCATGCTTTTGCTTGATTTCCTAGGAAGCTGAAGTGTTA